CGTTCGGTCGGTCGGCAGGACTCTGCCATGTGTGGGTAATTTCCTTAATAACCGCCAGCCTATCGCATTAACATATCTCGCATTTGTCATAAAAATAAGTCAACCACCGGCACCACCCAACCGCCAACCAACAAAATGATCCAGCTGGTCTCCGCGGAGGAGGCGTTTTGTCAAGGAACCACAACTCCCACTTCACTTCAGGTGGGTGTCCACCCAAAAATACAAGGAATGAAGGAAGGAAGGAAGTGTTTATGGTTGCTCATGTGCGTCTCGTAATGACCCCAGCTAAATGGACACATTACGCGCCGGACACACGAGAAATTGAATTATTCAAGCGACTTTGGAGGCGTCGCATTTGGAGCCAAAACGGCATTGCGTGTTTAAGTTTGTCTACTCCCACTCCCAGTCCCACTTTTGGCCTCGGCCACTCCCCACTCCTTGAAGTTGGCTAAGAAATACGTTACAGCTGGTTGGAACAAAAAAAAGAATAAGTTGGAAAACCCTGGTCGCCTTAAAGTTCCACTGGGTGACTTTCGAGACACCGTTTACGCTCTATGCTCATGCAGCACACGCCAGACTCAGGACACAGAACCCAGAACCCCTAACCCCCATTTCGAAGCCAGAACCCCGAAGAAGACTGAACCCTAAGGAAATGTAACGGCCAGCGATCGAGGACAGTTGGTTTCCCAGAGCGTCTTCAAGACGTTCGAGGGGGTGACTTACCATTATTTGGAAAAGACTCTGCCAGCTGCAACCTCTGATTGCAACGTTAATACAACATAAAGAAGTGCCTCGAAGGAGGGTTATTGCCACGCACCAAAGCGGATGTTCGGGGGGAAATCACTGGGAGTTGATACTAAAAAAAACCTACAACAACTTTCATCCTTTGACGGGACTGTACTCGAAAATAGTTGGAAGCGAGTGCAAAAAGCACTTACGATTAAGAGGCGAGTTTCTGGGAAAGGAGGAGCGGGGGCAAGTATCATTTGGCTAACGCTTGAAATTGGCTTCGTGACGCTTATCGCGATCAATAAATAATATACGAGCTGCTCTAGACAGAGACGGGTAGAGACAGCTAGATAGATAGATACACGAACGACATCGAGGCGGAAAACAAAAAGTATCTGCCAGATACATTTGAGTAATTTGCGTCGTTAGTGCCGGAAAGAGAGGCAAAATAATAATAATAAAAGAAAGTACGCTTGATTACAATGAAAATGTTTTTAATGTCCGAGCTCCTCTTTTTCCCTTAGCCCCCGTTTTCCTCCTCCTCCCTTCCTCCCCCCGCCCCCCTTTTTACACCCACACAACGACAGAGAAAGATATCTGCATAGATAGGCGAAGCAAAAGGACACACGTTAGGCATGCATTTTCCCCCTGTTTCTTTCCGTTCATTCTTTTTTTTTCGATATCAAAAGCGCGATAAGCACCAGACACGAAGGTGGGGGACGTGGGTGGAAAGTGGGTGGTAGGTGCAGGTGCAGGCCCAACAAAAGTCCAACGGAGGGGGGAGGAGCGGGCTGAAAAGGAGGTGGAAAAGCCTCAAAGTCGAACGCGACCAGCGACCACTGTCCAAACAAAAGTCGGAAAAATGAGCAGTGGGAGCCGACTTGGCCACATATGGCCATTTTCTGGCTGGCATTGCGTGCCAGGTCCGTATACGTATACGTATCCGTATTCGTATCCGTATCTGTATCTCGCCGTATTCGTAAATATATAGACAAACGAGTATGTGTTCCTAGTATCCCAGACTGCGAGTGTGTGCTATCTAATCAAGCGCTGAAAGACAATAAAAGCCAACAACGCGGCCACGACAAACAGCGACCACAAAATGTGCTTATGTCTGAAAACAACAGCAGGACAAGACCATCGTCATATGAGGAGACCAAAGGATACCCTGGAAAACGAGATTTGAACTCACTCCAAATATCTACAGTTGTTGAAAGACAAAAGAATATAAACTTAATAGATAAACTATAACGAAGACTAAACTTATTGAAACGGAAAGTCCAAGTTACAAAACATTAAAACATTCCGTCCAAAAAATATTATTACTATAACTATTTTTAATTAAAATGTTATTAGTTCCTTGGGAACTTAGTGTTAAGAATAAAGAAAAATAAACGATTTCCAAAATTTAAGCCTAACCTGGTTGTAAATCAATTATAAAATCTACCTCGAAGTGGAAGCCTCTTTATATTTATATTAATTTTTAATGGAACAATCATGGATTCATTTTTTTTCACAATCACCCTTAACCACTGCAGATACCCCTTTGGAAAAAAATCACAGAGGAGCCCAGGCAACCTACTTCTCGCCGGCTAAGTGCAGCGGGAAAACCTTGCCGGCTCCACTCGAAAGTATCGCACGGATGTCGTATCTATGGCTCGCCATATGGCGGCCCAACGCCGATATCTGTGAGAGTGTTTCCATGTATCTGTATCTTATCTGGCAGTTGGGGTATTAGCCAAGGAGCGTGCACCTCATCCTCCAGAGTTTGGGATCCGAAAACCAGCAGTGGCCATAACAATAACCGAGACTCGGCCTACATCATAATAATTCGAGTTTACTGCAATGCAATCCCAGCAGAAAGACCTTTTGGCAAGTTCAGAGCAAACTTTTCGCATAAAATCCCCGTTTGAGACAGTGGCCGTTGGAGGAGGCAGAGAAGGACATTTTCTTTTAGCACAATTCACTTCACAAAGTTGCTGCCAATTCTGGTGGAAACAACTGCCAGCAAACTTTGCGGCAACATAATTTGAATGTGCTTGTGGCAGGATTAGAGCTGGAAACTGCAACTGCATTGGCCATGAATGCCAAAACAAGTTGAAAGGTGTTCCTGAACTTTATTGATGTCGTCGACTCCGGGCGACTTCCGCACCACCCGTTAGGCAAATATCAAATACTATATAGCATTGGCATTGGGATCAGGTAAAAATCGGTAGAAACCGACTGCATGAAATGTCAACTGCCACCACCAAAAACGCCCCTTGGTTCCGTCTGCCTGGCTTCGGTTCTCTGCCTCCTCAACTCCTCGATCCTCCTTGTGCCCTCTGCTCCTCATCCTCACACTCATCCACTTCCCCCTTCTCCGAGGAACTCCTTCCTCCAGCGATCGCCAGCTTGTGCGCACGCGCATTGAGGCATAGACAGCGCGTCCAGGTGTTCCCCGATCATCGCTCGCCGCTCGTGGCAGAGGAGTACGTGCCACAACCATAAAGCGTACACAGGGGAAATCGTTGAGTTGATTGGAATAATTAAATAATATAATATAATACAATACTTCTATTGATAAAAAACTTTAAAAATTTAAATTAATAAAAGTAATAATATTTGAGATTATTTCATTTAGAAATGTTTTCCGAACTTCTCTTGATTCTCAAGATTAATTGTACCTTTCGGATTTGTTTTCTGTTTGATTTCTTCACCTCTAATTCTCACCAATATGTTGTACTATAAAATGCTATATTTATTTTATTTTACAACCATTATGCATTTAAAAGAAAAATCGATATTAAACTGCCTCTTTGTCCTCAGTGTATTTGAACTCCCCTCGCTTCTTAGCAATCGCCTGCAATCATCAGCTGTTGGCTGCGGCGATCGCTTCCTTCCGCATCCGTACTTTCATAGGGGCTGCAGATTCCGTCCCGGTTTCGCATTGCTCTACGTGATTTCCCCCACCATTTGCGCATTTTCCATTTTCCAGCGAATCTCAGACCGACAGATTGCTGTTTAATCTGGCAAAATGGATCTTCGGAGCGGAATCACAATGCCTAATTGCCACTAGTTCGCTTTTGGGACAGTTTTTTGTTTTAACGGATTTTAGAGTCACTTGACCGTAACCCGATTCCACCCCCCACCATCCGTCACCCGTTGTCCCTTTATGAGCCAAAGCATATTTTAATGATGACACCCGACCACGAAGAGGAAAGGTATACTGTATGGTGAATACTCGTATGGAGAACAGAATATTCAGAACACATGGCCGTGCCACACTTCGGTCGCTTGTGCCGATGAGTACATTACCGTGTGCCGCGATCTGTGAAGGCACATTCCAAAGCACACTTTGAGATACACATGCTTATATCTACCCCCTCCCCCTGCATTCCCCTCCCCCCTCCACAAAGGAAACCAGGCGCCTCCCTCATTTCCAGCGCATGCAAAGTATCCGAAGCCGGCGTTTTCCATCGAAACATGAACGGAAAATGTGTTAAGGTCGTAATTATCTGCGCCGTCGTTTGTAGGTGGAAGTTCGCCTCAGCTGGCAACTTTCTTTGCTCCTTGTTGGTCTGGTCGCCTTTCTTCTCCTCGGATAGCGCCATATGTTAACCTCTATTCGCTCCTCGCGGGGTTGAAGTTGCAACGTCCCATTGATAACGCTCCTAGAAAACGGTTGCACCCAAACCCGAACTGAAACTCAAGTCCCTGAGGTGCATTGAACTTGGAAATGCCAACTGTCTATCCGAGAAGTACAAAAGTATCTTAGGAAAGCGTTCCTCAAGGAGAGGTTGTAAACATAACGAGGCAATTAAGCAGTTTTCTTTCTTTGACTTCACCATACGGGCACGTGTGTTTCATTTATCTATCAGATGGTATAGCACTGATTATAGCCTTATGTTTAGAGTATGCAATTATAAAGAAAATAGGAGCAGATTGTTGGCTGTAAGAAAGTATAAGTACTAAGAGCTATATATTCCTGGAAATCATTTATTATTTATTCATAATGTAAACGCCTCTAAGGTGATTAAAAAAAAGTTATAAAGGGAGACAAAATACTCGATTTTGTATATTCATTATATTTATAAAATATTCCACTAAAAACATTACAGTTTATGCCTATTTAAATGTATTTTTCCTCCAGATTTTTAACCAAATTTATTTGACAACTATAAAGGGACTTGCTATTGCTAACCAATTTTAATTTAAATGTTATTATAATTTAACAATTATTATTTAACAAATCCTTTAACTAACTTAGCAAAATTCTTTCTCTTTTTCAGGAGGATCTATGATGGACGACAGAGAAAAATAACGCTTTGTTTGTGGTAATTTTGACAATTTCAATTCCAATACCTCAATGCTTCGTGCATTGGAATGCGCTGTGCGCTCCTTCGAAACCCAGCCCAACTTAATAAGTCCTGCATAGGGGTGGCTGTGGCTGTGGCTGTTCAGATCCTGATCCTGTCCCCTCGCCCGCTGCCAAAGAGGGTGAGGCCTCTTTGCGTCCGCTCTTGTCCCTCCGGGTTGTCCTTGCAAGCTGCAGGCTGCCAAGAAAGTACAGTTGCCCAACGAAAGGATCGTTGGAGGAACCGAGGGGTGGCTTCCATTGACATTGACTTGGGCCTACGGGCTGCATTCCATTGCACTCGCAATTGAAATCGACGGGGACGAAAGTCGACGGTCGAAAAGGGGAGGATTCCGATCGGTGGTTCTTGGGAAAGGCACATGGTGCCTAGAAACTAGCAGAAAGCAATTGCTAAGCGAGCATTTCAAAGATACACACACTTAGTGAGTGTGATCGATAGTCGATGCTTTGACGCATTTGGCCTGTTCCAAAGTCCCCATATTGATTATTTCGAGTGCTCGTTCGCATTCGACCCATGGCCATATGCAAAGTATCTACGTGTCTGCGAATGTATCTGTATCTGTATCTGTATCCGTAGAGGAAAGTAAGTCAAACTTGTTTATCAGCGAAAACGAAGTGACTTATCTTTATTTTGTACAAAAACAGAAAGGGGCGGGTAAACACACTGACTCACACCCCCAAACCACCCACAAAAATACAAGCAAACACACAAACACACACACACACACTTATAGAGAATAAGCTCAAGTGGAGAAATTAGATAAAAACCTGTCTGGGGTGTGAGGGTTGCTAGCATCTGCTGAATTAAGGACACCACCCCCTTGAAAGCCCAACCACCCACAGGATCAGAAGCAGAAACAGAAGCAGAAACTGAAACAGAAACAGCCATCCCTTGGTGGACAGCCCCAAACCGAGCACCAATCAAGTGGCCACCCAAACCAGAAGCTTTTGGCCAGCCACTTTCACTTTCCATTTAAACACTCGCCCCTTTCTCAGCCCCCCCCGAAAAAACCGTTTCTTTTCCGCAGCAGATATATATTCCAACTTATGCCTCCCGTTCATTTTACAGAAAGATTTTTTGAGCGCAAGCAAGGATTATTAAAAACGAAAACCAAGCCAAACCAACTAAAACCCAAAACGACAAAAAATCGACAAAAAACGAATTGAAAACCAAAGAAGTAATAACATCTCAAAATCCATTCGCAAGTTTTCGGGCAAAGGCATCGAAAACACACATTTTTGAGTATCGAATCAAAGCGAAACTAAACCAACAAAAAACTGGCAAGGAGCAGAAAGGACATTGAGAACGAGTACGGGAGTGAAACGAAGGGAAATACAAATCAAATCTAAATAAAATTAAATGCAAAGGACATTCGCATGTGTGTGGTGGTGGAACGAAAATTCAAAACAAAATTCACAATTAGAAAACGCAGGAAAAAACGTAGAAAACGCAGACACAAAATCAAGAGTGCCAGCAGCAGAAAAAGCAAAAGCAGCAAAAGCAAAAGCAGCAAAAGCAAAAGCAGCAGCAACCAACTGTCAACAGCGGGAAGAATTTTGAACTGGAACATTTCGACCAAGAAAAAAAGGTTGGGCGACAGCAAAATTTCAACGTTTTGGCGCACTACAACACAGCGGCAGCAGCAACGCAACAGCAGCAACAGCAACAGCAACAGCAGCAACGCAACAGCAACAGCAGCAAGGACATCGCGGCCAGGCAGCCAGGATTGCAGGAGCGAGCGGTTTTGAAAGCGCAGCACACATCGATAGCATCCCTTCCCACTTCTACTTCTCCCCCACCCCCCTCTCGAAATCTTCCTCTTGTTCTTCTAGGACTTGCAAAAACAACAAACAAGGATAGACTTTGGCTTAGAGGAAAAGCCGCAGCCAGGACTTAAACTTGAAATCACGCATACGCCGCGGCGAAAACGCGTTGCTCTCCTCTCGCTCTTTGCCGCAACGAAGCAGGGGAAAGGCCAGCCAATCCGAAGAAGCGGAGAGGGTGAAAGCGGGTCGCTGAGGGGAAAGCAGAGCGGGCCGAGGAAAGCAGCGAAAGCAGGGAAAGCCGAGAAAACAGGCAAAGCAGCTGAGGCGAGAGAGAGCTGCTGCTGCTGGTGGGCATCATCTTATGATGTCATCGGAGGAGTACGAGGCGGACTGTTTTGGTTTGTACAGCGATGAGAACAACGTGCTGCTGAAGGCAACCGAGCCGGAGACAACTTCCACCAAGCAGCAACATCACTCGCAGCAACAGCAACAACAGCAACATCACCAACAGCAACAGCAGCAACCACCGCCGAGCAGCAACGGCCACACGTCACCAATACCTTTGCAAATCAACGGCGACGGCAGCGCGGCGAATTGCGGCGAGAGTGCCAAGACTAATACCAATACAAGCGGCAACAGCAACAGCAGCAACACCAATACAGACGCAGACAAGGAGCAAGAGAGAGAGAAGGCGAAGGAGAAGGCGAACGACGACGAGCCCGATTCCGACGACTCCGACGACGACGTCGTGGTTGTGCTCGAAGGCTGCGAAGGCAACGCCAGCAGCAGCAGCAGCAACAACACAAGCAGTGGCAGCAGCAACAAGGCAGCGGCAACAGCAGCAGCAACAACAACAACAACAGCAGCGACAACGACGACGGCGTCGACGAACCATTGTAATCGCAGTGGCGGCAGTCGCAGTCATCGCAGCGCCCGCAGTAGTCGGCAAATCAGTCAGTCAACGGCCGTCGGCAAAGCAACAACGTGCGCGGCTAAAAAGCCAACAGCAACACAAGCGCCCACGCCAATAGCCAAGAACTCGAACGTAAACGTAAATTCGAGCCTTAACTCGAATTCAAATTCAAATTCAAACTCGAACGTGAACGTAAATTCAAACGGTAGCGGAAACGGAAACGCGAACAGTAAAGTGAATCGTCGTTCGCGTCAGAGATCCTTAAGCAAAGACATTAATCAACAGCAACCGAGTAATAATTGCAACAGCAACATCAATAGCAACAGCAACAGCAATAGCAATAGCAGCAACTGCAACAGCAACAGCAACGGCGGAGCAACGGCAACCGCTGCTGGCTTCATGAGTAGCGCTGCTGCGGCTGCTGCGGGTGCCGCTGGTGGAGGAGCCCTGTTTCAAATCCAACCACAATCGGTCAGCACGGCCAGTAGCAATAGCAATAATAATAATAACAATACCGTTAATACGGTTAATACAAGTGTCAACGCTGCCGCAGCGGCAGCTGCAGTTGTTGCTGCTGCCACACACTCGCCGACGAGCAACTCACCGGTCTCGGGCGCCAGTTCGGCATCGTCCTTGCTGACGGCCGCATTTGGCAACCTGTTCGGTGGCTCCTCGGCCAAGATGCTGAACGAGCTGTTCGGCCGGCAAATGAAGCAGGCCCAGGACGCAACGAGTGGCCTGCCCCAGAGTCTGGACAACGCGATGCTAGCCGCCGCCATGGAGACGGCCACCAGTGCCGAACTGCTCATCGGCAGTCTCAATTCCACGTCCAAGTTGCTGCAACAGCAACAGCAACAGCAGCAACAGCAGCAGCAACTGAACAACAATAGCATTGCGCCCGCCAACAATACGCCCACGTTGAGCAACGGCACCAATGCCTCGATCTCGCCGGGATCGGCCCACAGTTCCAGTCACTCGCACCAGGGAGTCTCGCCCAAGGGAAGTCGTCGGGTCTCCGCCTGCAGTGATCGCTCCTTGGAGGCGGCGGCCGCCGATGTTGCCGGTGGCTCACCGCCGCGAGCAGCTTCGGTGAGTTCGCTGAACGGCGGAGCCAGCAGTGGCGAGCAGCACCAGTCGCAGTTGCAACACGACCTGGTCGCCCATCACATGCTGCGGAATATCCTGCAGGGGAAAAAGGAGTTGATGCAATTGGATCAGGAGCTGCGCACTGCCATGCAGCAGCAGCAACAGCAGCAACAGCAGATGCAGGAGAAGGAGCAACTCCACTCCAAGCTCAACAACAATAACAACAACAATATTGCTGCCACCGCCAACAACAACAACAACAACATGGAGAGCATCAACCTGATCGACGACTCCGAGATGGCGGACATCAAGATCAAGAGCGAGCCCCAAACAGCTCCTCCGCCGCAGCAGTCGCCGCACGGGAGCAGCCACAGCAGCCGGAGTGGGAGTGGAACTGGAAGCCACAGCAGCCTGGCCAGCGATGGCAGTCTGCGGCGCAAGTCCTCCGACTCGCTGGACAGCCAGGGTGGCAACGATGAGCAGCAGGACGAGGACGACTCGGCTGTCAATCGCCAGAGATCCGAAAGATCCGAGAGTCGCGCTCCCGAGGGGCCGCAGTTGCCCACCAAAAAGGAGTCGGTGGACGATATGTTGGACGAGGTGGAGCTGATGGGCCTGCACTCGCGTGGCTCCGACCTGGAGAGCCTCGCCTCGCCCAGCCACTCGGACATGATGCTGCTGGACAACAGCAAGGACGACGTCCTCGACGAAGACGACGACGAGGATTGCGTGGAGCAGAAACGCGATTCGGGCAGTGGTTGTCTGAAGAAGCCCGGCATGGAGTTGAAGCGCGCCCGCGTGGAGAACATTGTCTCGGGGATGCGATGCAGTCCCTCCTCGGGACTGGTGCAGGCCGGTCAGCTGCAGGTGAACGGCTGCAAGAAGCGGAAGCTCTACCAGCCGCAGCAGCACGCCATGGAGCGCTATGTGGCCGCCGCAGCGGGACTGAACTTCGGCCTGAACCTGCAGAGCATGATGCTCGACCAGGACGACAGCGAGTCGAACGAGCTGGAGTCGCCGCAGATCCAGCAGAAGCGGGTGGAGAAGAACGCCCTCAAGTCGCAGCTGCGCTCGATGCAGGAGCAGCTGGCGGAGATGCAGCAGAAGTACGTGCAGCTGTGCTCGCGCATGGAACAGGAGTCCGAGTGCCAGGAGCTCGACCAGGATCAGGATCAGGATGCCGAGCAGGAGCAGGAGCAGGAGCCCGACAACGGCAGCAGTGACCACATCGAGCTCTCACCTTCGCCCACCTTAACTGGAGACGGTGATGTCAGTCCTGCCCACAAGGAGGAAGTGGGAGTGGAGCGACCAGGATCGAGTTCCCCTTCGCCTTCACCCTTGAAAGCCAAGGCAACGCTGGGCGAGGGTAACGAGTCCGGGGCCAACATGCTGTCCCAGATGATGAGCAAGATGATGTCCGGCAAGCTGCACAATCCCCTCGTAGGAGTGGGTCATCCCGCCCTGCCACAGGGATTCCCACCGCTGCTGCAGCACATGGGCGACATGTCGCACGCGGCCGCCATGTACCAGCAGTTCTTCTTCGAGCAGGAGGCCCGCATGGCCAAGGAGGCCGCCGAGCAGCAGCAACAGCAGCAGCAGCAGCAGCAGCAACAGCAGCAGCAGCAGCAACAGCAGCAGCAACAGCAGCAGGAGCAGCAACGCCGCTTCGAGCAGGAGCAACAGGAGCAGCAGCGGCGCAAGGAGGAGCAACAGCAGCAGATCCAGCGCCAGCAGCAGCACCTGCAGCAGCTGCAGCAGCAGCAGATGGAGCAGCAACACGTTGCTGCCGTTCCGTCGCGGCCGCAGTTGCACCACCCGGCGCCCGCTCGATTGCCCACCCGAATGGGCGGTGCTGCCGGGCACACGGCTCTGAAGTCCGAGCTCTCGGAGAAGTTCCAGATGCTGCGCGCCAACAACAACAGCTCGATGATGCGCATGTCCGGCACGGACCTCGAAGGACTCGCCGACGTCCTGAAATCGGAGATCACCACCTCGCTGTCCGCCCTGGTGGACACCATTGTGACCCGCTTCGTCCACCAGCGGCGGCTCTTTAGCAAGCAGGCGGACTCGGTGACCGCAGCGGCGGAGCAGCTGAACAAGGACCTCCTGCTGGCATCGCAGATCCTCGACCGGAAGTCGCCGCGCACCAAGGTGGCGGACAGGCCGCAAAACGGACAAACGCCCGCAACACAATCAGGTAATAATGGTTCACTACTCCTAGCTAATAGTCAAATGCCCTCCCAAACGAACGCGAGCGGTTCGAGTGCGCAGCAGCAACAGCAGCAGCAGAATGCACAGCAGCAGCAGCAGCAACACAGCTCGCAGCAACAACAGTCGCAGCAACAGCAGCCACCGCAAAATGTGTCGCAGCAACACATACAACAGCAACAGCAGCAACAGCAATCGCATCCTCTGCTGCCGCCCAACTGCCAGCAGCTGATCTCCGCTCCCCGCCTTAATGGCAGCCAGCTGTCCTTCGCCTCGCCCGCCGCTGCTGCAGCCGCTGCAATGGGACTGCAGATGCATCATGCCGCCGCAGCAGCAGCAATGTCCGCCCAGCAGCAGCAGCAGCAGCAACAGTCGGGGGATCCCAACGGGAGCACTAACCCAAACGGCGGCTCGGCGAACCCCACTAACAGTAGCTTAAGTACCCTTAATATACCGCCTCCTCACATTCGTCCTTCGCCCACAGCGGCTGCCATGTTCCAGGCGCCAAAGACGCCGCAGGGCATGAATCCGGTGGCCGCCGCCGCGCTCTACAACTCGATGACCGGACCCTTCTGCCTGCCGCCCACCGACCAGCAGCAGCAGCAGCAGACCGCCCAGCAGCAACAGTCCGCCCAGCATCCGCAGCACCAGCAGCACCAGCACCAGCAGCAGCAGCAGCAACAGCAGCAGCAGCAGAACTCGCAGCAGACGCAGCAGCAGCTGGAGCAGAACGAGGCGCTCAGCTTGGTGGTGACCCCGAAGAAGAAGCGCCATAAGGTGACCGATACGCGCATCACGCCGCGCACAGTCAGCCGCATTCTGGCCCAGGACGGTGTGGTCCCACCCAGCGGCGGAGCAGCCACTGCCCCCCAGCAGCAGCAGCAGCAGCAGCAACAGCAGCAACAGCAACAGCAGTCGCAGCAGCAGCAGCAACAGGCGACGAGCCTCGTGGGCGGCAGCAGCAATGCCACGCCCGCCCAAAGTCCGACGAGGAGCGCAGGGGGTGGGGGAGCGTACCACCCGCAACCGCCGCCACCACCACCACCCATGATGCCGGTGTCCTTGCCCACCTCGGTGGCCATTCCGAATCCCTCGCTGCACGAGTCGAAGGTCTTCTCGCCGTACTCGCCGTTCTTCAATCCGCACGCCGCGGCCGGCCAGCCAACGGCCGCCCAGCTGCACCAGCACCACCAGCAGCACCACCCGCACCACCAGTCCATGCAGCTCTCCTCGAGTCCGCCGGGCAGCCTGGGCGCTCTGATGGATTCGCGCGACTCGCCGCCGCTGCCCCACCCGCCGTCGATGCTGCATCCCGCCCTCTTGGCGGCCGCCCACCACGGCGGCTCGCCGGACTACAAGACCTGCCTGCGGGCCGTCATGGACGCCCAGGATCGCCAGTCCGAGTGCAACTCGGCCGACATGCAGTTCGATGGCATGGCGCCTACTATATCCTTTTACAAGCAAATGCAACTGAACACACCCGAACACCAGGAGTCGCTGATGGCCAAGTGAGTTTTCCAGCTAGTCCACAGTTGGTGGCAGAGCAAGCGAGACAGAGAGACCATATAGGTGATAAAGTATAGGAATAGGAATAGTATGGATGGTATAGTACAGAATGGTATGGGATAGAGGGGTGGGTAAAGGGTACTTAACCCAACCCCACAACCTCGCTTACAAAACGAAACCAATCAAGTGTCTTCTTCAGTTTATTTATTTCCCAACTAAATTCTTTTATAAAATGTAATCAAAACCTTATTTATTGCCCCGCCGCACACTTAAGCCCCCAAAGACCCTCAAGTCATCATCATCATCGACTTGGCCTGGCTTGAGTTGCATTTCGCAACAGCCACAGAAATGGAAAAAAATCAATGACGAGGCAGCCAATCGAAAGAGCTGCACTCGTTGGCCTCTTACTAGTCCCCCTTATTCTCGTTCTGAACTGAGCTCAGCTTTTTCAATCAGTGGGCTGAGTGGGCGATAGGGGGGTTCCACTGTACTGTGCGGGTGGTGGTACTGCTGGCACCCCTAGACATTCATTATTGGCACTCGAAAGTGCAGCCACGTTAGACATTGGCAATCCAATACGGATCCCCTTGCTCTCTCCCTCTCCCTCTCTCCTTCTCTATCGCTATCTCTCTCGCTCGCTCGCTCTGGCACACACGAATGTGGAAATTTGGAAAGACAATCGACCATCGAACCGACACATATAACTCATACATGTACCATATATATCTATAACACCGCCAGACATTGCGAATCCTTGACTCCTTTGCACTCTTCTACATTGACACCGATGCACCTGCGCAAGGCCAAGCTGATGTTCTTCTGGGTGCGCTATCCCAGCTCCGCGGTGCTCAAGATGTACTTCCCGGACATCAAGTTCAACAAGAACAACACAGCACAATTGGTTAAATGGTTCTCAAACTTCCGGTAAGTTCTGCAATTTACAATCCTCGATCCTTAAGTCAAAACATATGCTATTTATATTAACCATTCAGCAGCATTCATTTTTATGATTTCGTCGCTTGAGTTTCTAGTTTCGAGTTCTAAGTTTTTTTTTTTTTTTTTTTTTTTTTTTTGTCGCTGGCCTTGGGGGCTTGATTCGGTTACAAATTGATTGGCCAAAAATGAGACTGCCACCTGTCGAAAGGCTCGACTCTTGCACTCAAGAAGTCGTCGAGGGGACATGCAACACCATTCGGCTGTCATTCCGCGACTCCAACTGTCAGTCCGTGAAATTGCGCAAGAAGTTGCCAAAAAGACTAGCACAAAGACTACGGAAAAGCGACAGCTGCCACATACTACGGGTCGTACTAGATGGGAAGGGGAAGATGTGGGGTGTGTTCTCTGAACTGAACCTGGAATGAAAGCCATGAAGTGAAGTGAGGTAGGCCCGCATGCAGTCGCCGTGATTTGCGCGCCAAATCCGGGCCGCATCTGTCCGCCCCGAAAAAAATAAAACAACGAAATGAAAACAAAGTACGGAGTGAAGGAATAACAGAGAAAAGCAGAGCGTGGCACTAAATCTCAATCCCACCTGGATTTACCTTGCAACCCTCTTTCAACCGTTCGGCTTTCGGTTGAGCAGCTGCCCGTCTCCGATTTGTCTAAGACATGCGCAACGTCTTAAGGAATTGTCCGCAAGACACCCTAAGAAATTCCCCTACCTGCGCACCAGCAGAACACAGCACACAAAAGACAACAAATCAAGACCCGGCACGCTCGGGGTTTGTCGGAATTTCCGTTTGGGGTTGCAATCCCTTATTCCTTACTCCTTATCCCTTATCGATACGAAATACCCAACTTTGCATGGGAATTTTCGGGGAGTTGGCATCTTGTCTTTGCCCTCGACTTCGACTTCTTTTGCCAAAGAGGTTAAAATGGGTGGGAATATTTTTTGATTTCCTAACTGGTTCTTGATTGTTTGTTTCCTTTTTTTCTTGCGGATTTCTTGGCTTAGGGTTGGCCTGGATGTAACGGTTATTTGCGTTGCTTTCTCATATTGAGTTCCTTAGTTTTGATTTTTTTGTTTTCTTTGTTCTCGGGGAAAGCATTTCCCCCTTAATCGTTTTACCCCTAAATTAACCTAGGAAATGAATACTTGTAACAGCTTTTTGCTCTCTCTTAGCCACTAGTTAATATTATGAGTTTCCCACACTGACAAACTCACACTCGTACACAGAACATGCAACACAGAAGCAAAAACACACAGATATTCTGGGGGCTGAGTGCTCTAATAACATGTTGCTGAAAGTGGCCACTTAAGAAAAATTCAAGGGGCTGGAGTACGCCCCTTTTTAGGATTCCGGTGAAAAGATGAGCTGGAGAGTCCGCCGGATGATAAGCTGCCACTTGAGCTGGCGAGCAAGTGTGAAAATAGCGGAGAGCGAGGCCAAGAAACTTGTGGCGCTGGCATATTAAAAAGTGTTGCCTACTTAAGTGGGCCCCACCCACTCACAGCCACCCATCCACACACTCTCAGCCCCACTTGCCTTATGTGTGTGTGTCTGTGTGTGGTTGTGTTGGCTAATTAACAAAAGTGCCTTTTGTTCGAGGTCCTCAAGCAGGCCACTTATATAATTGCATTAGCTGCAGTAACTTCTTTTTGTGCTCGCCAAAATGCAAATAATGAAAAGAAAGCGGCAAAGGACATGCATTCATACAAGCACACACATACACATACACATACGCGAACACATACGCTGACACTCAGACTCCTGGCGGGCTAATTAGTTTGTTTGCCAGGATACATTCAGTGGGTTTCTTTGGCCGCTTTTCATGGCGGCAGCTACTTGAGAGTTTCGAGCACAATGGCCAGGGCCCTACTGGCAAAAGGCGCTCAAGGATACGCCCACACACACACACACACATGCTCACTTGCACCAACTCACTTACACCCACACACATCTCCCGCTGTTCTTTTTCCGTGTTTTGTTTCTCATCGAGCAGCCTTTCCTTTTTTTGAGGTTAAGTGTCCTTTTGGCGCTTAGAGCAGCTTGCCAGCTTTCCCCACTTTTCCCCTCCTTCGTCGCGTGAAAAGATCTTGCTGACAACAACAACAACAACAAAAACAAAAACAAAGCAAAACAGCAAAAACAAAAACAGCAGTTACATTTATAAAAAAAAAACAACTCACACCCACATATATAAACATACTCATACTCAGACACTCAGATACGATACACGCTCCATTCTGTATATGTATATAGACGTATATGACTTGTACAGATGCTTATATATAGATACAATGCAAAAGTGTTGCCAATTACTTCATTAATGTATGAGGTAGAGATGTCTGCATATGTGTGGGTGAGTATGTGTGAGCTTATTAATAACATTCTACTCGTTCGAATTCGTAACCGTAATCCGTGATACGTGATTTATTCCGGAGGAGGTGAACAAGAAAATGATGAAGAGAAGAAGAAGAAGGTGCAGCGAAGAAGGAGACACACACGCCACGCACACGAACAAGAAACGCACACAAAAAGCGCACACCGCCACACGCACACACTCAACCTGGCAGAGAGTGAAAGAAAGAAAAGAGAGAGGGAGAGAGAGGAAGAGTGAGTGGGCGAGAGATGAATGCACTTGACAAAGCAACGCCTGCCTGCCTTTCAACAAGTGTTTTAGTGGCTCTCCTCCTCTCGTCTTCCTCTCCCCCTCCTTCTTTCTCACACTCTCTCTCGCTGCGAAGGTGTGTGTGTGTGTGTGTGCGTGTGGGGGAGTGAGACCCAAATAAATAGGCTACGAAATATTATATGCAAACTAATTAGCACTTCCGTCAAGCCCCAACGCCATTGCATCTGCACATCTGCTGCAGTTCCACTTGCACGGCTTATTATCTAAATTAAGTGGCGCATTTGAAACCGCCAAGCCAAGCTTCCTTTTCCTGCATTCCCGCCACATGCCGCATGCCAACATGCCACATGCCACATTGCCATATGCAATTGCATAAGGATCGCCTCAAGCTCTTTTTCACGCCAGCCACAAAGCTAATTGCAATTCAAACCGAACCAAACCAAACCAAACGAAACGCTGCTCGGGTTGAGATCCTGGCAATCCCTAATAACTATGGACACCCGGCACAATGAACTGTCACACAAAACTGTCACACAGCGATTCCTTTCTTTCGGCCAGGCCAAGCCATCAGCCTCATTATGAAGCCATCCCAAAACCACCCACAGCCCGATCCGTTCCACACTTCCCCTTCTCCCGCTTTCCCCTCCCACTTTCCCTCGCTGCTCTTCAAGTGCAAGCGCCTCCGGGGAGACCCAAATGGAGGAGCGGGAGTGGCGGAGCTCTGGGAAGGAAAAGATTTTCTATTTGCGCATTCTGCGCTTATTGTTTGGAAAATCAACACGAGCGCTGTGGCACAACATGAGAAATGCATTTGGTGCCTGCTACTGGGAAATCTTGAAATTAGCGCGATTATCGGAGCGTTGTCAAGAGCAGTGGGCTGGGAAAGTAGGGGGGATGTGGGGAAAGGACTCCAAAGGATTCTCGGCAAAAAGACAACAATTAGTGCGCGGCAGACAATGCAGGATCCGTGAGAAGCGAAGGACGAGGAGTGGCAGTCAGGCCGGAAGACAAGCAATCACTTACAGTTGCCAAGTAAGGCATACACCCCCCCGGTCCAACCCACCATTACCCCCTCCCCTTCCCCTTCTTCACCGCTTGGCAGTATCCCCCTGCGAATGGCAGCCCACACACAAATCACTTGACTAAACAAGGCGACGCAGCAGTAGCAGCAGCATCCCGCTGCACTTGCTAATTAAATCCCCAACCCCCAAGGCAGAACAAAAAAAAAAAATCTGAAAAAAGAAAAAAGAAATAAAACCGCAGCAGCTAGAAGATGCCGCCTCGACTTGCAATTGTTATTGCACCACCACGAGCTTCTGCTGCACATTTGAGATTTATTAAAAATTCTTTGCACACTCAAACACACGATTACAGACAGAAAACCCACACACACCCACAAGGCGCGCCTAAGAGTATGCAGCGAATTATTAATAATGTCATACTCAAACAGCTATCCAATATAATGCATTAAGGGACCGAGTGAGGAACAGAGTGAGCGAGATAGAGTGGCTGAGTGAGTGAGAGAAGAAGAGTGAAAGAGTGAGAGAGAGAGAGCGATTAGCGATTTCCTTTGAATTTGGTTTACCACTTAACGACTTTCCTCCTTTGTTTTCCCCACCTCTCTCCTAAGTTCGAACCTTGATTATTGTTTCGTTTGCGTTGCGATTTTGTAAATTTGAATGCTGATCAACAAAAATATAAATAGAATAGAATAAAAAAAAAACAAACAACAACCAGAATACTGACCAAACCAAACATTCCTCATCTACGCATCTGCAGAGAATTCTACTACATACAAATGGAGAAATATGCACGACAAGCTGTCACCGAAGGCATCAAGACACCCGATGATCTGTTGATTGCTGGAGATAGTGAATTGTATCGCGTGCTCAATTTGCACTACAATCGCAATAACCACATTGAGGTATGCCAATAACCACGCCCACACCCACTAACACCAACACTAGCCCCCTAAACATTAACACCCTCCCCAACCCCCAAACTCCGACTCTACATGCACACACACTCTCAGTTAATAAATTAAAGAGATGAAAGTAAATAGATCGCAGTGTGTGTGGATGCGAGCGTTAACCACCACCACAACCACCACCACCACCACTAACTAACCAGATGACCAGAGAAACCAACTTTTTGGGAGCCAGTCGCTAATCGAGAACAAATCGGTATCCACAGGTACCCCAGAATTTCCGCTTCGTGGTCGAATCGACACTGCGGGAGTTCTTCCGTGCAATACAGGGTGGCAAAGACACCGAGCAGTCGTGGAAGAAGTCCATATACAAGATCATATCGCGCATGGACGATCCCGTGCCCGAGTACTTCAAGTCGCCCAATTTTTTAGAGCAGCTGGAATAAGTGGAGGAGTTGGCGCTGCCGCCGCTGCCGTTGCCGTTGCCGCATCCGCTGGGGATGCCACCGCCCATCAGTCCGGCGTCCACCAGCACCTGCACCACCAACACCAACACCAACGCCACCACCACGAACTGCAGCAGCACCACCGCTACCTCCACCAGCAACTCCAGGGCAGGCAGCAGCCATTCGAAGGCGCGACGCAGGCCAAAGCTAAAAGGCTAAACCTGCGCAGGAAACACGACTGGATATGACCAACTCCCCCAGCCAAAAAAACGAACAATTCAGAACAATACAATACAGTACACACTCTGCAAAATGGAACTTGGACATGTAGCTGAGTCGAAAACGCGTTTAGAAAACACACTGAGCAAAATATTTTTTCAAAAATTTCCAAAACCACACAAACACACGAACAAATATTACACATGAACCTCAGCAAAAAAAGCAGCGACAAGAGTATGAAGAGAGTGAACCAGGGAAATCTTATTTTCCCAGGTCGATTGAACAAAACCAAAACATAAACATAAACATAAACATAGAGCAGCAAGTCTTAATCTAATGTGAAATAGTGCAAATTGAAAAAAACCTGAGCCACACACCTGAGAACACCCACAACCGAGCATATTTTACAGGCAGTGTAAACTGTACTCGCCGTTGGTTTGTTAGTTGAAATTTTTTTGAAAATATTTACAGCAGATTACGTATACGTATGAATATTTAACAAATAGTTGAGCCGTCTAATGATCTACCGAAAGTTGACACACATTCCATGAAACACTTAAAAAAAAAACAAAACACCAACACGATAACCACACGCATTCCACGCACACACACACACAGACCCACATCGGTACAAAGTGTGTGTTCATTTGAGAGAGCGAAAGTCGCTTGGTCAAGCAGTAAGTGGATCTTGCCACACTGCTTGGTCGACCGACTTTCCGGTAAGCAGTTTCCACTGCCCAGTTGTGCACTGCTTTACAAAAGCATGTGCAGCTTCGTCAGTCGGAAATCGGGAATTAATCTTAAAATCACCCGAAAGCTAAGGTTGCTATACCCCCTTAATCCCCCCTTAAGCGCTAAGCATATATTCGATGTCTATTAAGCGAAACTTTAAGCAAAAAAATCACCAAAAAAAGGTTAAGAAATTGCAAAAACTATTTAGATTTTTAATGAGAGAGCCAGAGTTATTTGTACGAGCAGAGGGCGTTAGGGTAGTTAATATTATCATTTGCTATATACGTTATGCGAACCTTCGACCAAAGTTAATTGTTAACATGAAACCCTTGAATACGGTTTATTTTTAATCAATTCTTTTACTTTAGTGCCCACATTTGAGCACGCATCTTAATTTTATAGAATAATCAACATACACACCAACACATCACAAACACACACACACACACACTAGTCTGTTATTTATGTAAATAATTTATACGTTTAGTTAAGTTAACGTTTAGTTTAATTAATTTACTTTACTTGGCCTTGAGTTGCAACAAAACAAAATATACACGAAACACCAAAAATACAAATTAAAAATATGGTTTCTTTTATTCTCCTGATTTGTTGTGATTATATGGATTATATATGTAAGACTATAATAGCCGATCGCTGGCTGGCTGAGATCGATCATGCACTTCTCATTCATCAGCACAGCAGACACAGCATGGAAAGTGGGCGGGTTTAGAGGGATATGTTTGCCTGCTCTCCGTCCGGCGAACTTTGGGCCAGGGGCGGGCAAACCCTGTTGTTCCTGCAGCTGCAATCATCTCATCTCCGATTGCAACTGCAATGCGACAACAGCAAACAACATCATCAACTGCATGCAAAACATTTGAAAACTTTGGCTCAGACTAAATCATATTCCTCGAACGAAACGAACGAAGCGAAATCCATCATTTCGGCCCAACAATTGCTCCGAGGAGCTCCATCAGCCAGCCAGCCAGTCAGTCAGTCAGTCAGTTAGTCACTCACTAAGTTAATAAGACCCGCACCCTAGCGCCCTCTGGCGGGAGTTTAGAGTAGTTTGGATGGGAACACCGCTATAAGAAGCAGACGAGATCGCAGATTGAACCCCAGCAAACCTTTCGGCCACACCAATGATCACGAAATTATTGAACAATAGTTGAATTTTAGCTAAAACTAAATTGAAACGAACTAAGTGAGTTTTTTAGGCTTAACCAGAGTTCCCCATTAAAAAGGGATCCTAAGCAAAATTTGATTGCACTTTGGCGTACCTATGACAAAATTAGTCGCGTATAAGACGGTGAGTTTCCTAATCCAAAAGCGAAATCGATCGGAAGAATCGGGAGTTCTTCGAATCGAAATTGAAATTGAAAGTGAAATTGAAGTTTGGATAATTGAAAAATGAAAAATGCATTTGCGAAATTAGTTTTTAGGGAATCGTACAAAGCAAAAGAGGCAGGCAGAGGCATTCGCTAATCGAACTGAAGCTTAAGTTTATTACCCAATTGAGTTGTCTTACCCCTAAGTTTCACCCATCTTCACAACAGACAGAAGTCGAAATTCAAGTCCGATTTTAGGGCCCCAGGAGAGACGCGTTGATTGTTAATGCCTTTACAAAATTTACGAAGGAACGGCTTTTGGCAATGGAGTTGAAATTTGAAAAATGAAATTTGAAAATGCAAGACATTTGGAAATGAAATTGATCTAAATACAATTGTAACTGATTTTGTGATAGAAAAAGTAACTAACAACAAAACTAAAAATCGAACTAACTGCATTATTGTTTCGGATAAAACCAATATGGAGGACCCCCTCCATACGAAATTATTGATTGATGTAAAAATAGTTAATTGACAATTGCGAGACGAGCGAAATTGAGAGACGAAAACCATTTAGGCAATTTAAGGCGAATTAACAATAAACGTTTGGCAAACAAAACTTTAGGCGAAATTGTATCTTTAAGCAAAATTCGAAAATAGCGATGAGCAGCCGTATCTATACCGTCAAAATTCAGGAAGTTAACAGCAATACAAAAAATGAAAAAACTAAGCAAAAATTAAGCATTGAAACCTTTCTGTTCTGTTCTGTTTCCATCAGTTTTAGTCAGCGCTTTCTTTCTTTAACTCAAGGAAGGCGAATGAACCGATATACTTGCGTACCAACAAATGACACAGGAGCACACTTACACTTGCGTATATTTAATGCAACATACATATTTCATACATTTATACTAACATAAACATACATACTTAAACTTAAGTCAACAAGTCATGGGAACGGACCGCAAAAGGGTCCGTTCCGAACGATAATTGGTTAATAAAAGCGAAATTAATTGAGAAAACAGAAAACACAAATGACGGCGCTTGGATTTTTCTTTAACAAAATTAACCCCCACCTTTTGGCCGCTTATCAACCACCCCCAACCACATTTTTGGTTCAACTATCCCCAACCAAGCAACCAACCAACCTCCGTCAGAAGCATTTTTGGCAATTGTCACCGCAAAATTGGAACTGATTGGCAACCACAACACCACCACCACCACCACCAACCATCACACACCTCACTAAAACCCCCAACAACCACAGGAACCACAACGACCTCAACTATTCGGTGGAGCGCAGAGACGAAAAGGGTAAGCTAAATTCTCCATAATTCATCTTAATCGAGCGACGCAAACCAAGCGAATGCGACACCTGGCGGCCGTGGTCAGCAGCTAAGCCCGCCTTCAGCCACGCCCACCAAACTTCGGCCTGCCCTTTCGAGAAGCCCCCGAAAAGTGAGTTAAGTTCCTCCAGAGCAATCTTTCGGTGTTGGGAAATTCCAAAAAGACTTACAGATCGATCAGCCATAGGCCAATGAAAGTTCGTTCCTCGTTTTTTGGCCAAGCTGCTGTCACGGTTCGCAAGGTACAGTTTACACCCAGGAACTAAGTTAGCCTAAGCATATAGATTAAGTACAGCTGCAGCAGGAAACCAGACAGAGAACGATCGCCGGAAATGGAGAGGGACTTCCGGCAAACCAAGCAACCAATCAGCGACCCGTGTGACCAGTGTTGGTCAGCAGCCAGAATCGAATTCACAGCATAGCAAAAGTAAACTTAAAAACCATTAATGAACACTGCACGCAAACCGATAACGAAAAAGAATCGATCGATTGATCGAGGCAGACGATAGAAGCGAGAGCGAGATGGAAGGCGAGATAAGTATATACCTACTACACGTAAACCAATTACCAAATATAAAAAAGCAGACGCAGCCATATGCAATTTTAACTAGATTTTAAAAGCATTAATACCGCAGAATACCAAGCAAACCAAAAGAAAAATACCCAAACTTACCGATTACTGATTACTGAATGAAAAACCAAAAGAAAACAAAACCGATAACAGCAATTGATCAGATTTGTACATAGCGACATTTAAATACAACTACATACACGTAATTAAAATATTACTACAGTCTAAGCATAAGCGATCCCCGACCCAAATCAGAGCCCCTGGAAAAGGACATTCTGGCCAAGGCCAGGCAGATATTCACTCACAGCCTTACTGCATTGAAAATGCGCGCAATTCGATTTTCGGTTGAGGAGAGGAGCAGGGGATTGAGATAGGACATGTGCCAAACCCAAATCGGTATATATATCAAACAGATCCCCTTTGGCAAGCCCACACACGCACAAAACACTGAAGCAAGCCAGTCAAACTTACACGTAGGGTACATACTCCATGGTAAATCAAAGCAAATCTATTCGTAACTTCAACTTCAACGTAACCATAAGTTAGTTAAACATCCTTGGTTTGGAAAACATCTGATCACAAGACAGAAAAGACGAAGTAAAATATAAAAACACACAAAAATTTGCAGTTTTGGTATACATAAAAATGATGAATGAAACGAAAAATCCATTTTAACGGCGATGAAATATTTCCAAAAACAATTGCGTTTTTTTAGTAGCAAGCGCGATTCTCAAAATTCCCAACATCTTTTGGCCCAAAAAAATAAAAACACCAAAAAACAAAGAATCAAACCGTTTGGAAGTAAAATTTTTATCACTTATTTGGCGTAGGAAGAATCAGACAGAAGAGATGAGGAGTGGAGAGTATGGAGATTAAGCCGTGGTGCAGACAATCTGCACCACACCATTATTTCAAACAAACTGCAATAGAGCAGCGCACAGTGCGGATACTTTCGGCATGCACTGTGTGTCTGCACCAAAGGACTAAGTTGAACAATCGAAATTCTTGCAATTCTGCAACAGCAACCAGTGTTACTATAGTTTTTCAGTTGATCAATCAGGAATCAAACTTACGCATCCTTAGTTCTGAAGTTTATGAAGAAGAGGTTAAAACTTTTGGCTTATGACGTAACCCCAATGTTTCGGCCGCAACGAAAGTTGCCCATTGAAAATTCCAAATTCAAATTGATATATATACAACAACATCAAAAAGCACATGAGAAAGTATAAAAATATAAAGGAAATGTTGCATAAACCCCAAACCAAACCGATAACCGAATAAAAACAACGATAACGATAAACAAATACCTAAGAAACCATAACAGTGAAACGGATGAGGAGGAGAGTTTGCAATTTAGTTTTAACAGCCAACAATAGCCAGGGAAACATACACAACTCGTATGTGATATTTTTGAGTTAATCTCTCACAGTTTTTCACAACCACAATAAATATTTTTACTCAAATATACAAAGCAAAAACGCAATAAAAAAATTGAAATATGAACAACAACAAGCCCAATTAGAAGCGACAATACGAAAAAAATGAGATCGGTAATAACAACAGCACAAAGCACTTCCAGCAGCAACTTTTTTTGGGTTGTCTACACATATCAAAGATAAATACGCTATATATACATAGGGAGCGATAGGAGAGAGATATTCCAATTTTGTTGAGTCTTTAAGCCATCCTGAGTTCAAATTTTACACTGAATATAACTGAATATTTACCCATGATCGAATACAAATATAAATATATATACATATAAAGCAATACCAAAACTAATCCATAAGTGTTTATAGTTGAATTTTGAAAGGGACGAAGCGGGAGAACCAGATTTTATGCCACAGTTTCATTTGCAATAGACGAGCGTGCCATGCACGAACCGGGATAATTTATAGTACAATACAATGCAACAAGCAGACAAACAAACAAATAAACAAATAAGCAACAGCAACCAATAACTTTTTATAAAACAATTTATATTTTTATACTCAAACGAAATCAATCAACAACAACCGCAGCAATAGCCAATTAGCCAAATAAGCCAAAACTTTTAGTTCGTTCACCGAGGTTTTCAGTTAGCAATTAACGACAACAGCAACAATTATGTTTTCATTTACGAATCAGCAACCGAGTTCCGATCTGAGCGCCCCATCAGATCCGATTTTGGAGGGTATATATATCCACCGACTGGCAGAGCAAAGCACGCCACACAAGAAATTGCCAATAGAAGTGCAGTCCAAGAAACTGCCATTAAAAAAATAAAAAGAAGAAGCCCCGAAGAAGATGCCTGCCTGCTGAACCCGAGGGAACCCGAGATTAGAAACAGAAACAGATAAAGAGGAGTAGCCACAATCAAAACTTTAAGCAACTCGTGCTCGTGCCTGTCCAGAATCGGGATGTATATCTCACTCGGAATCGGATCAACCAGCCAATCGGGATAAACACTCAGATCGACTCACATAGACAACAAGAATAAGTGATAAAAACCCTTTGTTTCACAATTCTCTAACGAGCCACTCAATCAATCGAGAGCTGGCACAAATGAGCCACAAATCTTTGCGTGCGTTTAACTGGCGTCATTCCTGGTAATCAAAAGAGAAACACATCGAGAATGGTTATACATTTCTAAGGGGGCATGCAACGCGCTGCGAAACGAACTGCAAAACTCTTTTGGTTTACTCTCACACAACAAAGCAAACAGATACAGATACAGATGCACTTGCAGATG